GCACTGCTTTAAAGCCCTTTGAGCTTTAATAATGTGTGGATGCACCCTGATGTGCTACGCATTCTCCAACGCGCCTAGACATGCTTCTGATCAGGTGGTCAATGTCCTCCTGTGGTATCTCATTCCAGGCAACCACCAACTCCTCTTGAAGTGCTTCTAGAGTCTGAGGAGGACGTTGCAAATTGAGCAATCTCCTACCCATCATATCCCACACGTGCTCAATTGGGGATAAGTAGGGAGATCTTGGTGGCCATGGTAACAATGTGACATCATTATGTTGAAAGAAGTCTACTGGGACTCTTGCAACATGTGGTCGGGCATTATCTTGTTGGAAAGTTGGATCTGCCAGGGTGTCAAGATAGGGTAAAAGATGGGGTTCTAGAACTTCGTGGATATAACGCTGCGCGTTCATGTTACCTCTGATGAAGATTAAAGGTGACCTGGAACCATAAGCTATAGCACCCCAAACCATAACTCCAACAGTGTGATGAACATGTCTTTCAAAAAAAAACTGTGGATTCCTCCTTTCACCACGTCGCCTTCTAACCCTGGCACGACCATCGTGCATGCCTAAACAAAATCGAGACTCGTCACTAAAGACAATACTGTTCCATTCCTGATCCCAGAGTGACCGTTGTCTGCACCACTCAAGGCGATTACGTCGGTGTTCTCGAGTTAAAGGGAGGACCCAGTGTGGCCGGTATGAAAACAAGCCAAAACTTCTCATTCGTCGGTAAACACTTCGCATGCCAATAGTTCTTCCGTGTTCTGCAAAGCATTCATTTGCAATGGACCTGGTAGTGGAGAAACGGTCCCTTAAGGCCAATAATCTTAGGCGACGATCTTCACGGTCTGTTGTTCTAGGGCGGCGTCCAGTACCCCTTGCTCTTTGCGTACGGCCTTCTCGAAGCCATGCCTGACAACACCTAACCACAGTGTCTACACTTCTTTGCACTCTAACTGCAATTGCCCGAAAAGAAAGTCCAGCTTGCCGAAGTCCCACTATACGGCCCCTATCAAACTCACTAAGTTGACGAAATCGTACAGGTGTCCGTACTCTAGGCATCGTAACCGATCGTAAAGGATGTCAAGAACCAAAATCCGCCAAGGTTGATTCTTTACTGCGGCTGAAATATTCATTTTTACAGCGTTAGTGAATTAAAAAAAAGCAGTATAAAAACCGGAATGTCCAATTGATAAGGCTGAAATTTTTTTCACTTTACAGTAAGATAAATACATTCACCAACTTTTATTAAAATAAAACCATTTAAACTGGGTGTTCGGATTTATATGTCACTTAGTATACTTGGCGCGTCTATAACTCAGATTTTGATGAAAATTTCACACAAGGTTACTACTATGACAATGACAAAAAGCCTTAGATTAACTGGTCATTTGCAGAACAGTTTTTACTGGGTTTAAAAATTGGACGTTGGGGGAGAGTAGCCAATATAATGAGGAGGTGATCTGCAAACTGCAGTCTTTGAAATTACAACGTTTTGAGATAAAGACGTTTATTTAAGGTGCGTAAATGGAGAAGTAGAATGCTAAGCCAAACATACCACCTCAAATTTCAGAGACAACGAAATGGCTACACTAACCTGCTGAAATCTGGTCCTTATCGTTTGCTGACTAACACAAAAAAACAAACAAAAAACCGCATTTTGATTTTCCACATCTATTAAAACTGCGTTTTGAAAAACCAATCTGTTCATATGAAACATAAATTGGAACGGAAAGTTATATAATTATATTTTCAAGCCAATGTCTTCCTCAGCACAATCACACAACTCTGGATCTACATCGTCGGATTCCGGGCATGTTTCTTCCTCGTCTCTTGTTGGATGCCTTCTTTCGTTTAGTAGGTTCTTGTACCAAGCGAAGGTTTCATTATCTTCCCAGTCTTCTTGATACTTTTTTAATAGGGTTTCAACGTTTTCCAGCTTAACTTTTTTAATGCTATTGCGCAGTTCAATTTGCTTAGGTTGGTAACTTTCTAATTTCGTACCTCGTTTCAAGTAGTTCTGATACTTTGTATCGTTGTTTGTTCTGTAGAAGACTTCTAATTTTGTCAAACACTTTTCACGCACCCTTTTCAAATGAACTTGCTTTACTTCTTGTATACCACTGATTTTCTTGAATTTTGTACTAGAAAAATCCTTCCAATCCAACAAGTCCCAATCTTGTCCCATCACTTTAACATTCCCAACTTCTCCAAAGATATTTCAGTATTCTTCCTTAGTAATTTCAGACCGCTTTCTGCAGATCTTCTCTATCCGACCGAATACTCTGTTTGCAGGTAGATAAGAATGACCTCTCACCGGAAAATACAGGACCACCTCTTCAATATGTTTAGGTGCCTTAGTGGAAAGCCAAAACATCAACATGTGGATGACAAAAGAATTTTTATTTTGTCCCCCGCATCCATCGGCGAATAGTCTAACTAATTTACAACTCTCTGGAAACTCGCGATTTGTCAAGAAATGGTATATGGCTGATCCTATCTCATTCGGTCCCCTTTTAGTTTGATTCTCTGTCCAAGTATAAAAGTAAGGATGTCTTGTACTAGGTTCTGTTATGCAAAAGTTGTATAGAGCAAGTTGACGTAAATAAAATGCCTCCCCTATGTTCATTTTAGGCAACGCTTGGACTTGCTGCAAGTCAAAGCATACTGTGAAGCTGTTCTCCGGAATTGCTTTCAAAAAAAGGTGGAATTGTTTAGCTCTCAATTTATGAATCCTCAGCTCAGTAATAGATTTTCCTTTCATAGCTGCATTCTTTGTGGATCTAATTGTATTTTTCAGACGGGTACATAGACTACATACATCTTTTGCGGGATTCCCAAAGCCGAGATTGAAATAGCGTACAAAAATATTATAAAAATAACGACGCGAGACTTTTAAATTCAGCTCTACAGAGTTATTATAAAGTTTTGATAGTTTCGCAATATTCAAGTCAGATGAAAGATAAAGTCTCTTCGATTTCTTACGATTGTAATGCCTTTCACTTGCATGTAAATTCCCAATGAATTTTTTAACACTGTTTTTCTGCTACTCGTATTTTTTGCTTCTCCGATCACCTTCTCTCAATTATCTGCCCTTCTGCCTTCTTTTTTCCGATAGTAAGGATATTTCGTTGTGAGATCTTCAAAGCAGCCAAAAACGTCTTTTGACACACTAACAGCCTCTCAGAGTTAATATTTCTTAAAAAATAATCCAGCCTAATTGCTTGGCCTTTATTTGTCAATGTTTCTTTACTTTTTTTCCTTTTAGGATGCTTAACTTCAATCAAGTGGGCTATTTTATTATCTATTATCGTTTTTACTGGTTGTCTATACACAAGCTCTCTAACACGTTTTACATCCTCTGTACTTCATGACACTGGAGTGCAGTTTTTAAATGCTTGCACTTCACTTCAAAATCTTCAGCATTAGGCATATGATTCATGTATCTAAAACAATAAAAAATATAAAACAACTCCGCTCACTTACTTTTATATTCAAACTTACCGCATTTTTTTGCCCTTTCTCGTTTAGATATAGTTCGTTTTCTTTTTCTCGAACCATCAGATGCGTCACTAACTAGGACTAGACTACTATCATCCATTTTTAATTTCGAAATATTGCGTAATTTAGCAGCAACAGATCGCAAAAGTATAACACGTAACTGCCGGTAAACAACTGAACTATTCACAGCCGGTCTGAATATCCCCCCACTTATTCAAAGAAATACTGCGTTTTGTCGTGCATGTGTAATTTTGATCAGCAAGTTAAGATTTAAAAAGTTGCGCTATGATTTTCCAAGCATGGAGTAATAAATTGCGTTTTGTTATTCCTAGTTGAAACAAAATACTGCGCTTTGTAGAACACCACAATAATTCACTAGCTATTACAAAGGGAAAAACTGCAGTTTGACGTTTTTAATTAGGTTTATCGGGTAGAGGACCATTGAAAATATACGATCACATGCCTAACCCAGATTTGCCAATTTTTCAAAAACTGCGGTTTGCAGATCACCTCCTCATATGTCAATTTTTGGTGCTAGCAATTTATACTGCAGCGTTTTTCTGGATTCTTTTGGGTGTGGATTAAAACACTGGGTTCCACAAAAAGAAATGTACTAATTTATTTAACTTGATAGAACATTTATATACACCACTATTTATGTCCGACTAATTCTTATGTCGCGATTGACTGCACTATACTCCACTCCGCTCTGCTCTGGTGTAATCTGTCCTCTCTGCCTCCATCTCCCGGCCGCCGAGTTATATATAGTCCCAATCGCTGCTTCGAGAAAGGCCGGGTGAATATTGGAGGTCACTTCGCGTCGATCTAGCAGGCGATCCACTGTCACGGTCCTCACAGACGCCGCCAAGCGGCTTGTGCGGTCGTGGTTCGCGTAAAAGCAGAGATCAGCCATTAAGCTCTGGCGAGTAGGAGACTCGCCCAACAGAACTATTTGTCACAATACATTTCCAGCCCCGGTCAATCTTCGCACCTATTAGACATATTTCACACATCATAGATTTCCCCGTATACTTGCACTTAAAGTTGTCTCTCTACTTTGAATGCTGAGTAATCCATTTGATTTAATTGTTACATAAGTTTGTAGTCATTGTTTTTCTAAGAGGGACTAACGTGTGCCAAATAAAATCCCTTATGAACGGATGGTAGCGTTGCGTTGGTTCACCTTCTTGACGGTGTGACCGGTATGTCAAGGAAAGAATTACTATGAACTAATTGTATATGCCTAGTTGACTGACTTGATCAGTTTAATTTCTCTGTTATACACATCCGTAACGTTTTTCTCAGAAGGTCTAATTTATGCTCAACATAAACCTGTATGAACTGATGACGGCGTTTCGTGGGAAGTGCATAGTCAACCTACTTGACGATTTTGTTGTTGATTATGATTATTCTTGAAAAAATGAAGGAAAAACTGTTAAAATGTGTGCTTCACAATTTCCTACGTCCCTGCAAGAAAATAAAACATTCTTTCCAGAGCCAAACATGCCCCACCTGTTCGAGCACTACCCCCTAGGGAACCACTCAGTACTGCTCCAATGGAGCGTCCCCACTCAACCTAATGGAGTCCTGATTGGATACGATGTTTACTGTGCCGAAATGCGAGGAGACGAAGTGGACGAGCGAAGTACCATTAGGTACTTCGTGACAGGCTCAGAGAATTTGCAGGCCAAACTGACAGGTCTTAAGGCGGAGACCAAGTACTATGTTCAAGTTGCGGGGGTCAACTGTGCTGGAGAAGGCGACAGGTAGATTAACAGTATATTATTACATATCTATTTATCGCATGGCATAATACACACCTTACCGTTTCAGTATATTGGAAGAAAATAACATAAAATTGTAAAAAGACGACATAATTGATTCAGATAAAAAATTGCTTCATTTTTAACCGTCAAGAAATCTTACTGGTTGCCTCCGTAAGTCCGAAGTTGACACTTCCACTATACAGGGTGTTCATTTGAAAACTTCCCACTACGGATTTATCGAAAACCACTGATTAAAATAAAACACGCAGAGACAACTTTTTAACTAAAAACTGCTTCACCCCCTTTCATCCTCGCCCCCCCCCCCTCCCTCCAGGACATTCCCCTAAAAATTTCAAATGACGATGATGGGATATCGAGTAATAGATTGTTTGAAAGGTCTTTCGAAGTCCTTTATTTTGACGTTTGATTTTTTTAAATCAGTCGATTCGTTTTCGAGAAAATTAGCAAAATCTTTATTTATCTTAATTTGTTCAGATAGAAAACAAAAACACACGAAAATATCACTTGTTATTTCAATACGTGTTCAAAATGTTGCAAGTTAGGGTTTGCCAAATCTACAATTCGTTTGTAATTTAAAACAGAAATTACCAACGTAAACGGCAATTCGGAAGATTAGACATTGCAACAACTAAATAACAACCCGAATTTTTTTCCGCATTCTTTTCATCAACACAGCTATCCTGGGCGAACTATATTTATTATTGTATCTGTTTAGTTATTTGTTACTAAGGGAATGGTTTAAACACTAGCCGAAAGAGTGGAAACGATTCTAATTAAAGTGCCCAAAATCAATATGCTCGGAAAACTGCCGTCACCTTTAACGCCAGACATCCGGGGAAGATAACTTCGCATAGATATGTTTTGGACCTTGTTATAAAATTTACTCAAACTGGATCTGTTTAAGATGAAGTTGGCCAAGTTGAAGTTTTGGGTCATTTTGGAATAAATCCGAATACTTCATTATGCAAAATGGTTGCTGTGACTAGTATTACATTAGGCTCTGTACACACAGTTACTAAACTCCATAAACTTCATCCATTCAAAATGAAAATATTGCAAGAGTTAACTGAAGATGATTTCGATAGGCGAGTTGAGTTTTGTGAACAAATAACTGCAGCGATTAATGATAATACCAATCATGTAAAGAATATCTGCTTCAGTGATGAATGCACATTTAATCTAAATGAATTTGTTATTAAGCATAACTGCAGGTATTGGAACAATGAAAATCCTCATGCTTTTATGGAAGGGCATATCCAGTATCCTCAAAAAATTAATGTATAAGCAGGCAGTTTAGGAAACATTGTTTATTAACGGAAATTTGAACGGAGACATTTATTTGGATATGTTGGAAAATACCATCAATCCGCTTATCACTAAAACCATTGAAAACCAAATCGAAGAGGATGGCAACCTTATACTTGATGAGGCTGAAATATATTTCCAGCAAGATGGCGCTCCTCCTCACTGTTCTTCCGGTTCGGCAATGGCTAGACGACGAGTTTCCAGATAAATGGATAGGGCGAAGAGGACCTATAGAATGGCCTGCTAGATCTCCTGATGTAACGCCATTAGACTTTTTTCTATGGGGCCATTTGAAATCTATTGTGTTGACTTCCCAACCTGGAAGTTTGGATGAACTTCGTCAACGCATCATCAAAAGCTGCCATGATATTTTTGAAAATGTCCGTCAGGAATTTAAATATTCCCTGTATCATTGTTTGGCCAATAACGCTTAAACACTTATTGAAATAAGAAGTGATAATTTCGCGTGTTTTTGTTTTCTATCTGAACAAATTAAATAAAGATTTTTCTCATTTTCTTGAAAACGAATCGACCGATTTAAAAAAATCCAAAGTCAAAATAAAGGACTTTGAAAGACCTTTCACCCAAGCTATTAGTCGATACCCCTTGTCATTTAAAATGTTTAAGGGGATGACCCTGGGGGCAGAGGGTGAAAGGGGTGAAGTAATTTTTATCTTAAAAAGTTGTCCCCTTGACAAATCTTTTGACGTGACCCGGCGTTTTTTCATTTAATCAGTGATTTTCGATAAATATGTGGTGGGAAGTTTTCAAATTAACATCCTTATGTTGTACTGTCTGTCTGGCAGCTCCTCAGCCGTACATGAGAGGTGGTAGCTTACCGCGCTTGTTCAAGAAGTTTGCACATTTGCCCTTGTTTGCGCGAACTCTATAGAGACGTGTGGCAGTTAAAACCAGGTGGTTTTTGTGTGATACATGAAAGATTATGGACTTATGGGGACGATTTTTACATCCCTTCCATCTGCCAGGAATTTTTAACATTGAATTTTGTCTCAGACAATTGTTTCACTGTTGCTACGGGATTTCAGTCTTTGCCCTCCAAGGTCTCTTAGACCTTTGTGCACCGGGAGTTGGGGGTTACTGGTAATTTTATTATATTCCCTCCTAAGAGCATGCTTAGCAGTCTGTAAGTGGGGGTAGACCTTAAAGTGCCGGTGATGATTCGCATTGTGTTGTTGAGTTGTGCTTCTCTTTTGTTGGCCTGAGCGTTGTTTGACCAAACAGGACCGGCATATTCAATTACCAAAAAGCCCAAGCCAAGTACCTTATCTGAGGATCCCCAAGTGATAGCACATAGTTTATGGAGAATATTGTTCCGGGTTTTGATTTTAGCTCAAGTATTGTTAGATATTATTTGAACGTCAACGTTCTGTCTAATGTGATACCCAGATAATTCGGGAACTGGTTGCGGGTCGTTGAGGTTCTAAAGTCACATTTAGCTTGTTTCTTCGCACCTTGTTCAGATGAAAATAGTATATCTTACTTGAATTTGGTTGCAGTGTCCATTTTCTGAAGTAGTTGCCAATGATATCCAGGTAAGTTGTAAGGATTAGTTCGGTCTCTCCAAGGTTTTTATTCTGGATGGCTATTACCCACTCATCTGGATAGCCGAACTTATTGGACTGCATATTGTTCATATCCGCAAACTAAACTGAAGCCATGCTGAAACAGGTTCCTGAGGGAGTCCATTGTTGAGTTTATTTCACTCTTGGAATTCCCAATCATTCAAATTCAAATTCAAATTCAAAATACATTTATTTGCCAAAAAAAATAAAACATTATTTCACCGTATTATACAAAATTCACACACAATATTTTTGACAAAAAGGATATATTATCGATTAAAATGACCGTTAACACCCAGCCTCATATAAGTAGGGTAGGTGTGAATATGCCCTGTTCTACACTAATGTACACATATTATAATATATAAACAATACTTAGAAATTTAATGATTTAATTTATTATTTGATTATGAGCATGAACCATTGATATCGCTGAGAAAAAAAAGTATTTTCACACTTAAAATGTCAACGTTCCGACGGGAGGGGAGCACTGGAGAGGGAGGGCGAAGAGCAACAGAAAGCAACAGACGTGAAGCCATACCGACGAACCCTCATACAGTTAACCACACCGAAATACATCTACACACACATACAACATCTATCATCACATGCTCGCTTCTCCATCTTAATAAAAAGACAAATTTGGAAAAGTAAACTTTAGAACAAGTATCCGTGCACAATCACATTCATTATTGTATTATTGATCCTGAAGAAAAATGGCCATTGTATACTTTGAGAACACTCTTTGTGACATTACCTTATTATTTAGACTGTTCCACATTTGAACTGCAAGAAATGAAAAAGAACGTTGAAATGCTGCAGACCTATGTCGAGGAATAATAAAAAAATTCTGGTTTTGTCTTGTTCCCTAATACTGATTAAAAAGTTAAAACTTCATTTTTCAAATCTGCAAAAAACAGGAATTTTGCCCATTATTTTTCTACTTTTTGTTATATACCTTTCTCCGCATGATCATTTTCTCTTTGTAGATCCTTTGGGCGTGAAGTACCACAGCAAGTGGCTATAACCGGCCGCGTGGTTGTGGTTAGATGTCTCCTTGAAAATTCGAGGTCTTCTAGCCATTTTATACTACAATGTGTAGGTTGGCTCTTGTTGTGGACTTCGTGTGTCGTTTTTTTGCCTCTCCATCTTCGTTTCCTCAGGTTACACCCGTATTCGGATGTGTGGGCATGTGTATCTACTTTTGTAGTTTCATATGTGCATTCGTTTCGGGCCTGATGAAGCCAACCAGCAGAAATACGTATCGCTCGGGTTACCTATCCTATTTTCTGCTCGAATCCACTTTCCTCTTTTTTGCGGATTTTGCCCATTATTTTTCTACCTTTTGTTATATACCTTTCTCCGCATGATCATTTTCTCTTTGTATATATATATACATATATGTAAAATAATTACTTAGAAGCAAGTTATCTATAAGCGGGGCAGTCCTTATGCATTGGAGCTCTAGCAAGTCCTTATAGATGAGACCCTGTGACCAGATGGTAGCGTAGGTCGCCAACAAATCTATGAAAGCGACAGAGGTTTTTTGCATTATATGAAGCTCAGCTTCAATGTGTGTTGTGGATGCTAGATCTTGACCTTGCACAACTGCGATTGTGACGAAACTCTGCCTGTTCTACAGGGATTATTTCGAGTAGATGGGGAGAGATGAATAGGGTGTTCCATCCGTTCCATCCTTTTTTAATCCAAAAAAAAACACTTTTTATGTAAAAAATATAATGTTCGATGACTTTTGGCAGTATTAGCGGGTGCACGGCCGCAATTTCAGTGCGAATATTACGCTTAAGGTCTTGAATCGTGTGTGGGGCAGTCGCGTACACTTTACTTTTCAAAATTCCCAGAGAAAATAGTTCAGTGGCGTTAAGTCGCACGATCTTGGAGGCCAATTCACGTCGGAATTTCTCTAAATAATGCGATCTGGAAATTTCTCGGCCAATAACTGGATTGTCTGGCGAGCTGCGTGCGGAGTTGCACCGTCTTGCTGGAACCAAAGGTCGTTGGCATCGATACCTTCCATTTTCGTCCAAAAAAAAATCCGTTATCATACCACGATAACGTTCGGCGGTGACCGTAATGGCTTTTTCTTTCTTTCTCGAAAAAGAACGGTATAGCCCATAATCCGCACCAGATAGTTACTTTATGATCATGGAGAGGTTGTTCATGGATCTTGCGTGGATTTTCCTAACCCCAAATCCTAGTTTTGCTTATTTACGTGGCCACTGAGGTAAAAATGTGCCTCGTCTGAAAGGATGATTTTAGCAGAAAATGCCTCTCCTTTTCCAAGCATTCAAATAACAAAAATACTCCGTTGCTGATGGTCCGCTGGCTGCAATTGTCGAGTTAGTTGGATCTTGTATGGGAGTAGGTGGGGATCCACATGCAAAATCCTCCATAATGTTGTTGGCCTGATGTCTAATTTTTGCGAACAGTATCTTACCGAAGTTGATGGCTGTTCATGAACACTTTTACTCACAGCGGCCACTGATTCACGTGTACGTACCGGACGGGCATGTTGATATATTCTACGTCCTTCAACTGAGCCAGTTTCCTCAAAACGAGTGATAATCCACCGAATTCAATGCTCTATGGGACGATTACGTCGACCAAATTCATCACGAAGTTTGCGAAAAGTACTTTTCAAAGATCGTCCGTTTTCGTAATATTTTTGGACTAAAAAAAGGGGTCCTTGCGTTGTTAAAGAATCCATAATAACAAATGGCAGACCTTTGACAGCTCATATGTGCTAAACACATGGCAGTTGACACATTTAACATGTCAAAAAATGGTAGTTGAAAAAAGAAGCAATAGATGGAACACCCTTTACATAATGGATGGAGTACTGACATGAACCTTCCAAGGTAAGAACACCTCTAAATATCCCTCCTAATTATTCCTAAGCATTTTATTCTCAGAATTCCTCAATGTTCGAAAATGAAATCTCATCATTTGTGCCAACTGTCCGAGATGTGGCAATGCTGGCACCTAAATATGGTGGTCCACACATACCCTATCGTAACCACATAAGACCTTACCTAAACAATTGGTCTATACTGAATATGCTAAATCGCAGGAAGCATCATTTATTTAATTTCATCTATAGAATAATAAAATCAGGAAAACCTGCGTATTTGAAAAATGAACTTTCATCAACAAGACATAACCAGAATATTTTTATTATTCCTCGACATAGGTCTGCAGCATTTCAACGTTCTTTTTCATTTCTTGCAGTTCAAATGTGGAACAGTCAAAATAATAATGTAAAGGTAATGTTACAAAGAGTGTTCTCAAAGTATATAATGGCCATGCTTCTTCAGGATCAATAATACAATAATGAGTGTGATTGTGCACGGATACTTGTTGTATAAGTGTGCTTTTTCAAATTTGTCTTTATATTAAGATGGAGAAGCGAGCATGTGATGATAGATGTTCTATGTGTGTGTGGATGTATTTCGGTGTGGTTAACAGTATGAGGGCTCGTCGGTGAGGCTTCGCGTCTGTTGCTTTCTGCCGGTCGTCGCCCCCTCTCTGAAGCTCCCCTACCGTCGGAACGTTGACATTTTAAGTGTGTAAATACATTTTTTTTTCTGCGATATCAATGGCTCATGCTCATAATAAATTTCGACATTAAATTCCTGAATATTGTTTATATAATATAATATATGTGTAAATTAGTGTAGAACAGAGCATTTTCACACCTACCCTACTTAGGTATGTGAGGCGGGGTGTTAACGGTCATTTTGATCGATATGTCCTTTTTGTCAAAAATAAAAATATTGTTATGTGTGTGTATTTTGTATAATACGGTAAAATAAATTTTTTTTATGCAAATAAAATGTATTTGAATTTGAATTTGTTTATTTTCGCGCAGGCTGCTTTTTTAAATGAGCAAAGCATCTTCTGGTAGAATATGTTAATCAATGGTTTGACCAACGCGTTAGGCAGGATCTCCGAAGTGCTCATATTCCTAAATGAATATTTTACAATGTCACGTCACTATAGCGAAATTTCTGTTTTTTTGTACTTAATTACTTAATTTTAACGTCAATGTAGGTGGTATTTTAATTTTTCGTCTTGCGTTAGGTATCTTATTGGTGGTGTAGCTTCTATTGATTTTATTTCTCCACACTGTTTTAAGTAATGTATATATGTATAATATATCTTATGGACTCGTAAATTTCAAGGTTTGTTTTTCAAATGCATGTTTTTATTTACATGTTTACATGTATGTGCAGGAAATGTGTACTGAGATAATTACTGTACAGTTTGCCATTTTGTCTTATCCTATATCATGCGCTGACATGATCTGTGGACAAATAAAATATTTCTCTATCTATCTAAACACCGGGTGCCGCGGCTTCAAAGACATCTTGTCAACTGCCTAAGGTTAGTAGGACTAGGAAAAACCTCCTCAGACAGATTGTTTCACAATTTCGACACCCTAGTGACAAAGGGGCGGTTGCACAGCCCGTCGATGCGGAAGGGTCCCCAGATGGTCAGTTACGTCATCGATCAGTCGGACAGCACTGCTCTGAACACCATTGAGCATGAATGATGTAGTCGATGCTGCAGCACCCCAAATACGTGAATAGTGCTCGAGGCTAAATCTTGTAAACACAAGATGGATCATACCAGCAATCGCTCACGCCTGTATGCCTTGGTATTTCCTCCTGCTTTAAATAATCCACAACTCTTTTCTGCTCTACACAAGAAGACATGTCAATATCCTCATGACTTGTTTCAGGAAGGCCATTGAGGTAGAGTTAGAGCCCCACGAACCTTACCCTCCGTCGATGCCCTCGTTCAAGTACAAAATCGACTACAATCTGACCGACAAAGAGGAACAGAACAGAAAAAAGTGCAACAGGACGAGATTGCAGAACAGTTTTCAAGATTGGGAGGACTCCTGGGTATTGGGCAATGGGGAGAAAGGAAAGATTGTTACTGTTGGATCCAAAAAAGAATGGGTAAGAAAATTCCTGGGTATACAAGGTGATTCAAAATGGATCTGAAACGTAAAAAAACATTGAGTGGTGTTTTTATTTAGTTTTTTGGCTATAGATCCACCACCACTGGATCGAATTTCAGAAGCTTCTTGGAATAGTAGTAACCTTGCATCGAAATTTTATCAAAATCATAGCGGTACTTTCAAAGTTATAGAGAAGACCGTATGATTAGCGGACAGATACACAGACAGACCGACGGACATGAATGATATGCTTTTTCGTAATTGTCATGTAACATCAAAAAAACAGAACATCTCGTTTTCTAAACTTTTCGCGACTACAACACTTCGTCGCCAACTGGCGTAAAAGTAAAATGGGAAAATATTCTTAGTATGGAAAGTATGACTATTGATGTAAATATGAATTTCAAACTGTTTTCCGACCGAGATATAGGACATTGTCCTAACAGCTCCAGGATTCACCTATAAAATAACATTACTGTCGGTTTTTGAACTTAGAACAGCCTCCTCAGGTAGATTGTTTCATAATTTCGATTCCCTAGCGACAAAGGTGCGGCCGTATCGGCCAGTTCTGGATGTCCGAAGTTCGACACGGTTAAGATGGGAGGCAGAAGTCAGGCAGGTCTGTTTTGTCTGTTTTTGCGCGGCGGCATAATAAAGGACAGCTCTGAGGAGCAAAGCCCGTTGGCGGTAGAAGAGATCGCCGAAGACCCGCCGGTGTGGAAGGGTCCCGAGACTCCGTTAGAGAAGAGTCATCGATCAGTCGGACAGCCCTTCTCTAACCAGCATCGAGTATTGTAATGAGGTCGGGACGGCAGCTCCCCAGACATGTGAGCAGTACTCGAGGATAGGTCTTATCTGGGCGTTGTACAGAGTGAGGAGGTCACGTCTGGAAAAGTACTTCTGTGCCCTTAACAAATAGCTCCTGAGAAGATAGAATAAGTTATACCTACTTTCTGTCAGACATAAGCTAACTTCAAGTTGATAATTCGGAGATTCGGAGCCAAAATGCAATTAGGTATCTGGGTGTGAGGCTTGACGAAGATCTGGAAATGATTGAACATATAACCAACGCGCCCCACTGACAAGGTAAATAAGGTCGTTGCATATCTGATACGGCTAATGCCATCTGACGGAGGCACCAGCAGTGGGAAGCTCAGGATTTTGGCAGAAATCAAGTCCGGGCCAAAAGCTTTGTTAATGTCGAGAAATATCTCCATATACTCAAGATGATAAGCAGCTTTCTGTCCATAATCTAAGCCTCTATGAGGCCTTAAGGTACTCCATAGACCATAGGCTGTGGGCTATCTTAGTTTTTACAAAAAAGGCTGTTTTTAGAAATTAGCTCTTATAAGTAGCTCAAAATGACCGATTAAGGTATCTATCTACCATTGGCAATTGTCATCAGATTGCTTTTTTCCTTTTAACTCATTCAAATTCAGAGTCAATCTATTCGACTACATTATTTTTCTCTTATTTCAGTCCCACACAAGTTGTTTGGTCAACACAATGATCAAATGGATTCCAGATGTGACCAGCGACAACCCAGGCGAGTACTTTTACGTCAAGTACCGTATCAAGGGCGATCCTGAGTACATAAAATCCACACCGCAGTTCGATGAGGACTACATGATTCTGGAAAACTTCAACGCCTGTGTTAACTATGAGATCATCTTGATAGCCGTGGATGGGGAATACGAAACTGAAAGCGAGATGCAGGAAACTCCAGCTATCATGTTCATGCATCAGTATCACCAACATCACTGATATCAACTATTTTTTAGTTTGAACACATTGGTTAATATATTTCATCAGAAGGTACCTAATTCAATATGCGTGTCGATCACAGTATTTAGGCGCCATCGTTGCCACCTTTTGCCGCAGGCTATGGGACAGTGTTGCTGTAACCTCTTGTACACAAAAAACAATATAGGGAAAACGGTATAAGGGATGTGCGTATACAATTGTGTGCTTATGTATGACTGGTATGAGGCCTAAAACTACATAGACTATGTTACACAGCATTCATTTTTTAGCTTTAAATTTGGTTCCAGCTCTTTCTCGGTAAAGAGTGGAAATATCTGAATTAATTTAAAAAGACGTGGAAAACACTTTAGGTATTTCGGTAAATAAGATACCATTTCGGTAGAAATACCGAAAAATCGGTAGGTACGGCAACAGTGCTATGGGATTTCCTCTTCCGTTGCTGACAAATTCTGAGAATAATAATAATAATAATAATTTTTAGAGAATAAACAATTGGAAGGTTAAAGGGAGATCCTTAAATGGAAAATGAAATCTGTTTTTGTTACTACTAAGGAAATTACTGCTAAGTGAACGTCCAAATACAACATACGATCGGGCACCTTCTGGAGAATACTATAACCAGTGGTTTGAGTTTACAGTAACTATTTTGGAATAACACTAATAATTTTCGATTATTGGATTGTATGATGTCATAATTTATGGTACTGAGATGTTATTTTATAGTTCTAATTTGTTTTTAAAAAGATATAAATAAAACGTTTTCAGAAAACAATTGACATAATTTTTGGTATTCATTCTTTCCTACGTACTCTAATCTGTCGACATATAGCTGTCTGTTCAGACACCAAAGTCATTGAGACCCTTGGAGCATAATTAAGGCTCTCCAAAATTCCCTCTATGTTCTTATTTATGACATACATCCACAGTTCTTACGCATATTTTGAAAGAAATATGTTGAACTGAAAACAGTACATTCTTGTAACTTCTGTGGTTAAAGAATAAAGCATGATATCGGAAAAGAGAAATAAAGATTATCTAGCTCTAGAGCATCCAGTTCTCTGAGACCTAATCCCCTGGGTGTATGTTCAAAGCTAACTTGAAGGTCTAACGAATCGCTCAAGTTGCTGTAGAGCGGAATTTTTAATGGACTAATTTCAAATATGTCATAATTTTTCATTACGTATGCTCACATCTTATTGTGAGCCGCTTTGTATAAGAACCAAAATCAAGATCGTACGTCTAGCTCATTGATTCCCAAAGTGCTCTATATCGACCCCTAGGGGTCTATGACAACCTGCAAGGGGTCTACGTCAGCGAAAAAAAATTTGGGGGTCCATGAAATGAATATGGGGGTCCACGATAGTGGATCTCAACACATACACTGATAGTATCTATTTACTTACATCATACTATCTTATCATATCAAAACATATACATTATTTATAAAAGTACCTATGAAGAAAAAATTTATTATATATGTTTATAAAATTGTGTAAGTTGTAGGATGTTGGTATTCGCTTTGTGGTCGCAATACATTTTGAACTTGTAAAAACCTGAGAGTCGCAGTCTCAGAGCTTCGCTACCTTGCACGTTCAATTCGTCACTCTATAAATACGATTTTTTTTTAATCAATCCTTTATTAGCAATCAGAAATTAACAATTCTATAAGCTAATCTGCTGTCCATAGTACTGTTCACAGCACTAGTTGTGGCATGATGAAGTCCCATCCAGTGATGAGACCTCTTCAAACATCAAGTAGGTCTGCTGGCCAATATTTCTTAAGTCGTCTGCGGTTAGGGGGTTCTAATAGAGGTTGTAATGATGTATTACTGTGATTTTCCAGTTTTCTGTGGTGTTTCTTGCTCCTCTCTCGAATCACATCTTTCACCAATGGAACATTGAGATCTCTGTGGATAGTGTCATTGGTCACATACCAAGGGTCATCAGTTAGCATACGGAGTACTTTCGATTGACTCCTCTGGATTATCTGAATATTAGATTTACTTGCGTAGCCCGATAGTTCTGCTCCATATGCCCATATTGGCTTGATGATGGTGTTATATACCAGAAGCTTATTTGACAGAGATAATTTGGATCTTCTTCCAAGCAGCCAGGATAATTCTTTCACATGCAAGTCTATTTGTTTTCTTCTTTTAATGATATGTTGTTTCCACGTCAGTTTGCTATCCATATGGAGCTCAAGATATTTCGCTGAAATGGACTGGGGAACAGCTGTGTTATTAAATATACTGGTGAACAGTTCCCTTTCCGTAGTATGAAGGTTACTTGCTGTGACTTGTTTTCATTAATCTTTATCTTCCATTTCTTCATCCATGTTTCCACCATTTCTAGATTATCTTGTAGAGAATTCGAAGCTAACGTTGAATCGCTGTTGCTGGCAAGGATTACTGTATCATCGGCAAATGTTCCTGTGACTGTATTTTGGGAAATAGGAAGATCTGCGGTGAACAAGGTGTACAACATTGGTCCTAAAACGCTGCCCTGGGGAACTCCTGATTTGATAGGATGGAAATTCGATGTTCGTTCATTTACTCTAGTTCGGAATTTACGTTGACTTAGAAACGACTTCAATATTTTGAAGTATTTTATGGGTAGTACAGTTTTATTTTAAACAGCAGACCATCATGCCAAACTTTATCAAACGCCTGACTTACATCCAAAAATACTGATGTGCAGTACTGTTTATTTTCTAGTGCTGAATTAATTGTTTGTACCATTCTGTGTGATTGCTGTATGGTAGAGTGTTCACTCCGAAATCCAAACTGATGGTTGGGGATCCAGTTTTTTTCTGGCAAATCGTTATTAATCCTACGTAGCAGTAATCTTTCCAGAATCTTTGAGACTATCGATAATAAGCTTATTGGTCGATAGGATGAAGTTATTATTGGGTCCTTCCCTGGATTTGGTATAAGTATAATATCTGCAGTCTTCAGTTGTTCAGGCCAATAACTGAGTCTGAGGTTTGCGTTGTATATGTACATTAACATCAGTATTGCTTTGTTTGGTAGTTCTTTCATCATTTTTGGTGTGATTTTATCAATACCAGGTGCTTTTTTGACAAATACGTTATTTATTTCAGTTTTCACTTGTTTTGGGGTGAGCAGTTTGATTGCTGCGTAATGGGATGGTAAGTTGGTAAGCTGTTCGACTATTTCTTGATCCGGTATATCGTCATTAGGAGTAAATACATCAGCCAGGTATTGTGCAAATAAGTCTGCTTTTTCTTTATCGCTACGCGCCCATTGTTGCTGAACATTGTCTGTCTGTCTTCGTTGAGAGTGCTGGAGAAAAGTAAGTACATTATTTTTTATTAAATTTTAGTTTTGTACTCGTAGTTCGCAAAGATAGATAAATTATGCCAATCATGACTTTAGTTATTAGTAGTTAAATATTCAATCATGCAAAATTACACGAGTACTCCTCAATAGTTTCTTTTTGAAAGTTTTAGCAATCGGTAATATAATTACAGTGCAATCTCCGTAATTCGAGCTAATTGTTGCAAGAAGATGTTCGAATTATGGAATGTTTTCGAAAAAATCCAAAAATATTTTTAATATACAGCTGCTAGATTTTCTTTATTTAATTATGCCCACAGATGACTGATGCCATGTCCGAATCTAAAAAGAAATGTAGACAGTACAGTGTTGATTATTTGAAATTTGGCTTCATTCCATCATTGCCGGACAAACAATCGCCTATGTACCTTTTATGCAACAAAGTTTTGGGCAATGACGCTATGAAACCATCTAAACTGCAAGATCATCTGAGAAGATGCCACCCTGATAAAACAGAGAAAGATTTGAAATACTTTCAAACACTCAAAGATAAATTTCAGAAGAAACCTACACTGGACAGAATGTTCGCTTCGACGTCACAAAGAAATGATGATGGTTTGCGGGCGTCTTACAATATCTCGTTACTTATAGCAAAATCCGGAAAACCGCATACTACCGGAGATAAGTCAATTTTGCCAGCCGTCGAAGATGTTTTAAAAACTGTTTTACACAAACCTGCATCTGACATCATTAAGAGAATTCCCTTAAGCAACAATACTGTTGAAAGACGTATTGATGAAATGAGTTCTGATATTGAAAGCTTCTTATGTGATTATTTGCAAACGACCCATTTCTCTAAAGAACTGGACGAGTCAACTTTACCTGATAATGCAGCATTATTACTGGCATATGATGATATTATGAATCAAGAAACCTAGGAAGAACTGCTCTTCGCAAGAACTTTGATAACCGACACTAAAGGTGAATCAATATTTCATGTTTTGAAGGATTACTTCATTGAAAAAGCAATTCCTTTATCAAATATAATATCAGTAGCTACAGATGGAACACCTGCCATGGTTGGACGTTATCGTGGATTTATAAGCTATTTAAAACAAAATGTGTCAGGGGTGTTAGCAGTACATTGCGTCATCCATCGACAACATTTAGTTGCTAAAAATTTGAGTGTTAGATTGCATGAATCACTTCATTTAGTTATTGATGCAGTAAACCGAATCCGAAGCAACGCGTTGAATACGCGGTTATTTGCACAGTTGTGTGAAGAAAATGATGAACACTGTGATCAATTACTCCTTCACACTGAAGTACGCTGGCTGTCGAAAGGCTTATGTTTGACAAGATTTTTTGCACTTTTTGAGCCTATTGTAGAATTTCTGGATACTAAAGATAGAATTTTAAAAGAAAATTTAATGAAGAGGAAAACAGACATCGCCTATTTAACAGATTTGTTTACAAAATTTAATATGGTTAATTTGCAATTACAAGGCGACAGTTTAAATTTGATTAAAACAAAGTCCATCTTATCAGCGTTTCTTGCCAGAGTTAAACTAATGAAGCAAAATATTGGACGGGGTGAATTTTCTCAGTTCCCCAATTTGTCACAGACAAGCTGTCAGGAAGACGACGTTTCAACTTACGTTCAACATTTAAATGCCCTCTATTCAGATTTTGAATCTAGGTTTGAGGATATTTTGACTATGGTAATACCACTGTGGATATTTAGTCCATATGGTGACATAGAAGAAACGAATGTCATAATACAAGAGGAACTGACTGAACTAAGTACAAACGAAGAACTTAAGGTTCAGTTTAAAAACGGCAATTCTGGCTGCAAAACAACATACCCGTTACTTATCCCGTATGATGGAATATAGCGCGGAAATTTTTAATTTCCTTTCCATCGTCATACCTAGTGGAAAGGGGGTTCAGCGCTGTTACCAATCTCCTAACGAAAAAAGAAACAGACTGGATATCATTAGCCAAGAAGATTTAAGATTAACCCTTACAAAATTGACGCCAAATGTTGATAATTTATTATTAAAGCATCAGGTTCATCCTTCTCACTAAAAATATTGACTTATTGCTTATGTTATTTTATTTATAGTTTATTTTATGTTTATTGGTGTCTGACCAATAAATGCCCGCATTGGGAATTAGTGCCCGCATTGATTTTTTTAAAGAACCCCCCTTTATAGAAAATATTTTTTTTAAATTATTCCGAAAATTCAAGGATAGGTACACACTAAAATTCGTAAATTTTTTGCCTATTTTTAGATAACTTAAACGTATAGGAAGCGGAATTTAATCAAACTAACAGTGAAATTATTGTTGAACATACGTTTATGTTATAATTAATAAACGAACTCGCTTATTGTACTATTTTAAGTAAAAAACTTTTTTTTTATTATTTTTCACTTTTTTTTAATTTATCTCTCTTATTTTTTTTCAATGCGGGCACTTATTCCCAATGCGGGCACTTATTGGTCAGACACCTGTTTATTTAATGTTACGTATATATATACATAACAGACACAAAATTTTATTTTGAGTAGTTTTAATTTAAATTCAATTAATAAATGTATAAATTAACATGTGTTTTTCCTTTAAGTTTTTAAAACTAAACTTCACTACAGTTAGAAATTTACAGGAAATCAATATCAGGTAAGTAGGGGGTCTAACCAACACGGAAAAACATGGCAAGGGGTCTACGACACAAAAAAGTTTGGGGAACTCTAACTACATAAATAAAACCGAACTCACCATATTTGGCACTCCCCCATCGTACACAGCACCCATCTGCTTCAACCCCGCCCGCTGCGCCTGAGTCTCCACCCTAACGGGCGGGGCTTGCGTATTGGTGGGTGGCGCCTGTCCCGCCATCAGCAAATCAGGACAGCCCAATTCTGGTGCTTCATCGCTTCCGTCGGCACATTGCGGTACGCCGTCGCACGCGTTGTAGATGGCGATACATTCGCCGTTGCCGCCGCGACATTCGAATTGGAATCGACTACATTTTCCACTTGAGGAGGCGGAGACTGAGTTTGAGGAGGCGGATATAGGGCCAGAGGGGGCTGAAATAGGAAATACGAGGATAAAGTAAACAGTTATCGGCATGACACATACACAGAACTCAACTAACGCAAATGTATGATTCCTGCAAGAGTGCACATGCCATTTGTTAGTGTGGATAGGATGGATAAGCCTGAATCTCGTGCTGTTATCAAATTATTCATGTTGGATGTAAAACCCCTTCTTCCGAAGTTAACAAAATTTCACATGGACTACTGCGATTTGTTACGGTTTTAGAAGGGGTGTCTGACACATAACATAAATTTTCCTTGCACAAGATCGTAGATTATGCCATGGGATTTAAGTATTTTTCGTGGGTGGAGGTGAACTAAAAATATCACCAATCCTTGAGACTGCTCAAATTGTACTTAATTTGATAAACTAATGATTATAACCCGGCAAGGAGCATTATCGTGATGTTACACCCAGTTGTTCTTGACCTGATTAACGGTGGTGTGAGTTAAATTTATCTCCTTCCTAACTGTCAACCGACGATCTGAATACACAAGATCCCCGATTCTGTCGATATTTTCATTAATTCGTGGAAACGAAGGCGTTCCGTTTCTTGGTTTATCTTCACTATCTCCATAGAGCTGTTTAGCAAGTGTTTCCGTTGTACTGTGCCCAAGTCTGAAGCAAAATCTGATATCACACCATTGCTTGAACTCGATGTCGCTCATTTTTAGAACACAATGGTTTCACAAAAAAATATCGCTACGGACAATCAAATGACTCGAGCGAGTTAAAACTTGGACTGAAAGCGGATTACATGTTCTTCTGTCTCTCCTCCAAGCCCGACGAATCCAATGTTGCCACATCGAACGCTTCGTTGCCAGTCTCATCACTTAATTTACAGACCTCGTATATCCTTAAGATGGTGGAGAGTTTCCGGAAGTACGTAGGCTCAGTGAAGAGTCAGGAGGAAAAGAAGAAAGGCCTTAGTTGGAGTGTGGACTGAAAGAGTATTTCGGCTAGGCTACGCCGAAAAGTTGGGAAGAACATCCACGATTTGACTTTTTTGGCTAGATCTTAAGAAGCCATAGAGGAATCCGTCATGGAAATGAAGTTTACAAACTTTGCACGGTCATACCGGATATTAGATACAAGATTTTCGGATGAAGTTCAGGGTTGATCTGACGGACCCAGGTAGCACCTTGGACTAAATATTATGAATCTAGCTTTGGCAACCGTTCCCAGTGTACAATTTTCCAGCCAATAAATCTTAAATGCTGAGGTAAGAGTCTGGTGTACTTTGAGCCCCTAACAGATTCCAAATATTGAAAATACCCACCTGAAACGACCAAAACGACACCACACATGTAACCATCGACATCATGTTGAACGATTGGCATGCAAAGGTGATAAGCATAGTCCGTGAGGATTTCGGAAGTGATCTAGGGATCAGAAAGCTCAGCGGGCCTCAGGGCGCACAAAACTTTAAAGCCGGCCCTGTCAACTTCGTTGAGCAACTGCCAAAATTTGTGAGAAGAGGGCTGGCTTTTCATCTGGGGCCTGATTTTAAATGAGTTTCGACCGTTGAAACTGATTTCGATGGCGAGTCCTGGCGATATAGTTGATTCGCTATGATAATAATTTTGACATCTGATTATATTGATCTTCTATAGTCAACGCCAAACAAAGTGGCGTGCACGTCATCACGATAAAAATTCCCCGACCTAATGCCTAGGTTTCTATCACAAACAATTGATCTATTGCAGTTTCATATTAATGTGATATATAAATTGTAAAATGGTCATTACTCTCTTATTATGGTTAATAGTCATATAAACATTGTTATTAAAATATCACATAAGTTGCTTTCTGATAAATTTAGACGCATTATGCGAAATAAAATGTTTTGCAAACGCTCCAATCACTTATCGACATGTAAACGCACTAAACCGATTTCGCAGCGTTGACACATTATCACCTTGAAACTTATTTAAACTGGGAACTGACATTTGTATTAATTTTGACACTGAATCAATTTGTGGCATTTCAAATCTTTATAAATCCTTTGGCCCCGCATACTGTAAATCAACAACTGTTTGTTTCAAAACAAAATTATTCATTTTACGAGTAGATAAAGGCAATTTTGGTATATAAAGATGCCCAAACAGTTAAATAGTCGGTGTAAGGAACTCGTGGCCTCGTTAATGCACTACTTTGAGCAAGAAAGGGACAACAACGGGCCTTTGTTGCCTTTAAATGCTGTTCAAGAGGTAGGTTACTAATAATTATATGTAATGTATATTAATAATAGTGAAATTTTATTTCATTTTTTGTAGCGTGTTGCTGCTGCTTTAAAAATTAGTTTAAGGACAGTTAGTCGTATTTCCGAGGGTGTGAAAAGTGATGCAAATTTAGAATCGCCCAAGAAAAAGCGGAGTTATATTAAACGTGTAACCAACACAGCGACATTGGATACAAGTGCCATTCGAGAAGTGATCTATAATATGTATCACAAAAGTAAGATCTTATTATAATAACTTATCAGAAATTTGCATTAATTTGTTAACTAAATTATAATGTCATATTACACATGGTTTCAGAAGAACAAGTTACGATACAAACTTTATGGTCTCGATTAAGAGATAGGGCATTATTTGATGGTAGTGCCACGTCTTTAAGGCGGTTGCTTAGAGATCTTGGATTTAAGTGGCTTAAGGACAATCCGCGACGAGGGCTCATGGAACTACTAAGTATAGCTTTGAAAAGGGTGGAATTTCTAAGGCAATACAATCAAGCCAAGGTTGAGGCCTTATACCAGTTTGTCTTCCTCGATGAGACTTGGATATTTCAAAATGGGACCATAGGTCGCTCTTGGCAAAATGGAAACCAAAAAAGCGTGAAAGCTATTAAAACAGATGGTAAAAGGTATGTACTTTTACACAATTTGCACTATAAAATTTACAACTAATATATTTTAGATACATTATACTACATGCTGGAAATGAAAATGGGTTTATTGAGGGTAGTGAAGCGATATTTTCTTCGAAAACAAAATTGAGCGATTACCATGGAGAGATGAACCAGGACAATTTTTTGAAATGGTTTCAACATCAGTTATTAGAAAAATTGGAGAGTCCATCTATGATTATACTGGATAACGCCCCTTATCACAGCATGATATTGAACAAAGTGCCCAACAATGCATGGACAAAAAAAAATATCCAAGACTGGTTGACAAATCAAAACATACCATTTTTAAACACAATGTTTAAAACAGAGCTATTGAGTATTGTTGCTCGGTACATAATGCTTCTTAATTATATATATTTTGGTCGACAGTTTATATTTCTTTTGTTTATTCCTATTCTTAAAATAACTGCTTTTTTAGAAACAAACCACCTAAAATATACGTGATTGATGAATTGGCGGAACAACATGGGCACAAAGTTCTTCGTCTGCCTCCTTACCATTGTATATTTAACCCTATTGAGTTAATTTGGGGCATAGCAAAAGGTTACTATAACAGACATATTGGTAGAGATGGTAACAGTGAAAAAGACTGTTTGGATATGTGGAACGAGGCTCTACAAACGGTTACCCCAGACATGTGGAAAAATAGTGTTCGACATACTGAGCAAGAAATTTTTAAATGGTATGAAAGAGAACGAATTTTTGATCGACCAGACATCGAACCTTTAATAATCAACTTTGAGAGTGATGAAGATTCAGATTCAGACAGCGCTGAAGAAAGAAACTCCGACTAACTTTATTGTACAGAAAAAGCTTACACCAGTAGCTTACCTAATTTTAGAATGCATTTTTCTGTATGAATTCTGTAAAATAAATACCATGCATAAAATTTGGAGGACCCCATTTGGATTTTTATTCAGTACCTTTAAGCTATCAATTAAATATGGTAGTTTCATAGTGTCATCTGATCAATAATTGTCATACTTAATGATTATGCAAGTACAGATCTATAATTTTATTATACTATTATTTTTGTTCTCATTTGAGGTTAATATTGCTTATAAACCTAGATATGTAAATAATAAATTTTATTATTTTACAAAAAGTTTGGCAACAATGTAAATTTTTCAACACACCCACCTTGATGACGTGCACGCCACTTTGTTTGGCGTTGACTATATATTCAAATTATCATGACAGTGTCAAAATTATCATAGCTAATCAAGTGTATCGTCACAAGGCGCCATCGAAATTAATTTCAACGGTCGAAACTCATTAATCAAATCCAAGCGACTAACCAAAATTTCTGTATTATGTACCGCGGTTAAAATATGGTTTGAGATGACATACGGGTTGAAGACGTCAGTTACTCGAATCGCTTGAATGCGCTGGTTTTAACCGCGGTTTTGTTGCAAGTTGTTTATTTTAGAAAAGCGCGTATATAATTTCTGATTATTTTATTATCACTTAATAATCGGTGCTTTTTTGTCTAGAACAGTGTACGAAAGTTTAAAAAATAAACCTTTCATAATATTAATGGGATAAAGTTTTTTTCAGAATTTTTTTTAATGATGGTACCCTGGGGCTTTGTAGCTAAGGTAACCTTCAATTCTCTAAACTTTTCCGCATGTTACAGAAAACATTTATTGATTTAGCAGAAATGATACGAAAAAGAGATGAAAAAAGATATTAGCAAAACCGTATACAGGTGGACATTATCCAGTGAGTTTATATGGCCATATTTTAATATTCTTGTGGTATATGGCTACACATGATATACTAAGTGACATATAAATCCGAACACCCAGTTTAAATGGTTTTATTTTAATAAAAGTTGGTGAATGTATTTATCTAACTGTAAATAACAAGTCAAAAAAATTTCAGCCTTATCAGTTGGACATTCCGGTTTTTATACTACTTTTTTTTAATTCACTAACGCTCTAAAAATGAATATTTCAGCCGCAGTAAAGAATCAACGTTGGCGGATTTTGGTTCTTGACATCCTTTAAGATCGGTTACGATGCCTAGAGTACGGAGACCTGTACGATTCCGTCAACTTGGTGAGTTTGATAGAGGCCGTAT